TCCCACCCCCCTCCAATCAACACCCCAAGTTTCCTTTTTAAGGTTACTATACCTTCAATCTATCACAATGGGTGCCATTCCTGAAGTTGACCCCGATGAGCCCGTCGAGACCAAGCCCTTCAAGTTCGTGACTGGTGAGCTTTCCTTTCCCACCTCCAATGGGTCCAATTCCTCCCGTAACTAAGGTCAATTGCTAACTATTTCACAGCTGGTACGTCTAGGATAGGTTTTCGAGTATTCGCAGCGCCGTCGCTGTCGTCGCGATCGAGGTAGTTTTGTGTGCTGACATATGAGGTGATGAATAGGCTATGACGCTCGTTTCCCCCAGCAGAACCAGTACGTGATTTTCGCACACCTCTCCGCTCAATCTCCCCAGTACGAACTGCAATAACTAACCACACATTTTTTTTCCTCCTCACAGGACCAAGCACTGCTGGCAGAACTACGTCGACTACCACAAGTGTGTCACCGCCAAGGGCGAGGACTTCCGCCCATGCCGTCAGGTTAGCTAGCTACTGCCTCCCACCCATTTTCGTCACGAAGTGTATCCAATCCTAACCACCATGGAACCGAAAACAGTTCTACCACGCCTTCCGCTCTCTCTGCCCCAAGGCCTGGACTGACAGATGGGACGGCCAGCGCGGTATGTAGCCCCATTATATATGATCCTATACCGTATATATCAAACAGCAGGATACTAACAAAAACTTACAGAGGCTGGTAACTTCCCCGCTCGTCTCGACCGGTAGACGCATTAACTACTTTGTTCACAGTTAAATTTGAAAGTTCAAAGTTGTTTTCGTGTGTCTTCTTGTCACTGTCAACGTGTACTCTACCCTTTAAGTTGGATCCGGCGAGAATTGTTAGCTCTGACTCCCCAGACACAATTCGGCTGGGTGGGAGACGAGTGTATATAGACTCGCGTAGTTGGAATGATGTGTCAAACAAAACCAGCCAGCCTCATAAACTCGGTATAAATTTGTAGCTTTAAGTCAAATCCATCTTCATCAATTCGTGTCATGTTCCGTCTACCACCTTGATTTTTATATCAAATAGGCAGCCGTATAAATCTTCCCTTCTCTCACATGTCACCTCATAAAGCTTATTTAGTATTCAATGATAACTACTACTGCTCACCAGCAACATCGTCGAAAGATCATACGATGTCCGATAGCAACCAACCAATCACCTACCCCAAAATCAAATCTTTCACGACAGCTGATAACCGATTATCCCATTTATGCAACTGCTTACCTCACTATGTACATTGCAAAGCTCACTAGTTACTACTACTAGTATGTTCTTACTACTGTCTAAAAGTAGAATCAAACCAGCAAGCATGATATGGTTAAGTTACTAGTAATAGTACAATCAGAGCATATGTCCTCGAGAAACTTGACCAATTCGATCAATACAATACAATAGAATGCTCAACTAGCAACTACAATGTGTCCATATATAACATTACATTGTATAAAGAACTTCATGGCATTTCAGTCTTATCTAATCTAAATTGCAAAGGATATATGCTGTATGAATTGTAGTGTATAGCAAAAATGCACTGTTCGACCAAGGCACCGTATAAGAACGGTAATCTCAGCTGGAGATTGAAGGCTTTCAGAATCTGAGGTCAATCGCAGTGGCTAGAGAAGGGCTCTGAATTAGTCATGTTCCAAGAGGACCACGTCTTGTGTATCAGATGCCAAGAGAGGAGACATATATGCCTCAGAGAAACGTGTTGTTCTAGGTCAATTAGTCTCGAAAACATGAGCAGATACATGTGGAAAGAGGGGAGATGTAGGCGAAGAAAGAGGAGAAACTGGAGGACAGAAGTCGCTTTAGCCAGCTCGAAGAGACAACGAATAAGCCAAAAATAAAAGTGAAGAGGGACGAAAAGAGAGATGAAAGTAAAAGATAAAGGAAACGTAAGTAATCTATAAGATATATACAAGGGTATGATCACAAGAAAAATGCGCAAGACTTTTGTCCTCCCGGTAATGCTTCGCCAAATGAGAGATCAAGAAAGAAAGGTTTATAACAAAAAAAACAAGAGACCATCTATCCCAAGAAAACACAGCATATGGACGGATATCGCAGATATGTGCCTGGAAAAAGTAACAAGACAGATCAACATCAAGCAAATCTATACTTCAAATCTGTTCAGGGGAATCAAAGCCCCTTCAACAAGCGATAGAGCTTCTTATGCTCCTCAAGGAAGATAAACGTGGCAATGGTATGAGGACCGAGACGAATGAAGCTCGGCACCCAACCACGGAAAGCCCACGCGAGGCCCTCCTTCCTAGTGATGTCGCGGAGCAGTCCAATGATGCTCTGACTGCGGCCTTCAGCCGGAGAAGCGGTCATGACACGAGTCTTGATAACATCGACAGGACTACAGACAGTAGTAGCCACAAATCCAGCCATGAAGGAGGCAGTGAAATGCGTTCCCATGTTATCGGACATGCCGAGGTTCTCCAGACACAGACGCTTGAAGGTATCGTACGAGGCCAATTGCGACGTCGTCATAAGAACAGCACGGGTCGAGTTCGGCCACACTCCGCGGAACAAGCTGGCGGGACCTTCGGTGCGCGTCATGGTCACCAATCCGTGTATCGCGTTGCGGTAGTTACGGCGTTGAGCGGGAGGAAGAGCAGCGTCGGATTGCATCCGCACGTTCAGGACGTCGGCGGGGTTACCAGCCATGCCACCGATGAAGCCAGAGGCAGAGGCCATACCAATTAGGGTGAAGAGGCCAGGAGGCGAGTCGGGAGAGGTGAAGTGGTTTTTCAGTTCCTCGTAGATACCGAATCGTGTGGTGGAGTAGGTCAGTTGGCGCAGAATTGCGGCGGACAACTACAGGAAGTAACTTTAGCACCCTGTAATAGAATCGACACGATCTGGAGCATTGGTGGATACTACATACCCCGCTGTAAAGACCGAAGAATCCGTCATTCTTGAATACATGCACGAATGTGCCGACCATAGTCGAGGGGGCGCCAGGCCCGCGGGTCTGCAAGCGGACCTATAAATTTTCAAAACGCACATCGATCAGCGTTCCGGTGAGACAACGAAGTATAGGAATAAGCACGCGGAGGGAAAATTCAGGAGTTCCTATAAAAAGTCCAGGAGGCAGAAATTACCTTCACTATAGACGGGGATTAGCTTCAGTTCCAGCACATGCTTTTTTATTTTTTTGTTGGCCGAATTAGAGCTTACCGAGATCCAGAGGGTGAGTAACGGCAGCCGCAAAGCATGATGCTGAACCACCGAACCAGAAAGGATAATGAACTTTTTTTGCAGGGGCTGCAGCATTCGCCGCCTTGGGAGGATGCGACGCCTCCAACTTCGCGCCGCTGGCCATAGTAGACATTTCAGCGGAGGGAAGAGAAATCCCGGGGAGGGAGACAGAGAGAAGGGGGGAGTGGAGAGTGGGGAGGAGGGGAGATTTCGTAGTTGAACGAGAGATGGAATAATGAAGGCGACGATGATAATAAAGTCGAGTCTGACGCAGTAAAGTGAGTAATACGCTGGTAAGAAATCGGCGGCGCCGGACATAGATCAAGTCTCCGAAACCCTGCTTTTCGGCTGCGCTAACCGGTCTGGGACCGCCATGACCAATCAGAGTCTCGGTTTCCGGCGGGCAGACGGAGGCCGAGCGGTAATCCTCGGTAATGCGCGTATTTCAAGTAGCCTTTCTCTGAGTCCTTCGATACCCGCGGGGCGCCTCCATCAAAGATAGCCTCGCTTGGGGTAATTCTGCTGATGCACTCGGTGCCTGAATTACCTCCGAGGACGGAGAATAGCTCGCATGCTAGGCCATAGCTGTTTGGCAGCTTCTCAGCTGGTCTCGACAAACCCATTTGACTACAAAGTATAGACCCTGCTTGGATCGCCACTACGTCACGCTGCATGCGTCCCATGCCGTAGACTAGATTAAGGTACATGATGCCAGCCGCGGCTAGATCTTCCCTAGCCTAAACGCCCGGATAAACCTGGAGGATAGGTGATTTCATCTGAACATGGTAATACACAGTTGTTGTACATATGAACTCGCCAACAGTAACTGGCATATAGTACATCGCGAGCATTCACAGTCACAGTCGCTGTAATCAGCGGAGTTCGACTCCCAGCAAGCCCACAAGCTTTTGTCGGACCTTCTCATGCAGGTCATTTGTTTCTTCATTCGTCAACGTGCGCTCTAGACTCCGGTAATTGATACGGTAGCACATGCTCTTCCGGTGTGTCTTGGGGTGGGTGAATTCATCAATCAGCTGGACGTCTTCCACCAGGTCTCCTGCCTCCCCACGAACGATCTCCATGATATCATTCTCGTGCACGGGCGCAGCTCCGCCCGCTGCACTGCCACCGCTGACAGACGCAGAGGGAAGCCAGAAGGCGACATCCTTGTAACAGGCGGGGTGCTTGGAGAATGGCTCGAAGCGGGTGATCTCACCCGCGCGGAACTGGGAAAGGAATCGCTCGTCACGCGACCAGAACAAGCGGATATCCGGGATGTTGAAGAGAAGCATTGCAATACGCTCCAAACCGATACCAAAGGCCCATCCGATGCGGTTAGGCACATCCGAGTTAATCAGCAGCTCCTGCTTGATAACACCACAACCAAGAACCTCGAGCCAGTCACCCTGCCAGAACACCTCCAACTCCCAGGATGGACTAGTGAACGGGAAGTATGCCTCCACCCAGCGGACCTTCAGGGGCTCTGGCTGTTCAGTGCTACCGGCAGCAGCTTTGCTGGCCTCGGTAAAGATTTTGATGACCATGCGCTCTAGAGAGCGCTTGAGGTGCGCCGCGATGGCCTCAACTTCCTCCTCGCTGTGATATTCCGCCTGGAGCGGGTTCCTCTGGGCGTGGATCGTAGGGTTGGGGTCCTCGACCTCGACGTCATGAGCGGGGATCTTCTTGACATCCTCCGTGATCGCAGCAGCAGTCTGGCTAGCATGTTTCAAAGGCTCGTTATCCGGACGCTTCCAGAGCATAGCGCCTTCCATCTGATGGAAGATCGGGTAGTGGCTGCGATCGATCGCATCTCTCCGATACACATCAGCGACGACAGTATAACCAACTTCCTCCGGACGGATACTCTCATTGCGAGCGATCTGTTGGAAGTATGCCTGCTGATGAGCACTGGTGTGTGTCCTCAAGACCGTCTTGTCATTGATGTAGTAAGTGTCCGTGCGACTCCGGCCGGGGTGATCCAAGGGGAAGCCCAGGACATCGAAGTTCTGCGCCGTCGAAACAACAGGGTTCTTTTCGGTGTAGTTTCCGTATACCGGGCCAGGGAACTGGCTCTCGATCAGTTGGCGTGTAATCGCTAGAGGGTGGTTCTCATCGAGATAGAGCCGGCGGCCGATGTGGGAGAGAATCGTATCCGGGGTATTCGTCCACTGATCCGTACGGTAGGCTTGACCTTCGATAGTCAAGGATTGTGGCACCGAAGGTCGTAGTGAGGGCTTTTTATTGCCATCTGCGGTCTCGTTTGTTCGGCGGATTGCCGTCGAACTCCAGTCTCTCCGCTTCACGGCGAAAGGCTCCGAGAACTGCGAGAGCGGGATGCGTATGCTCCGACGTGAGGGAGCAATTGCCCACCGGGCACTGCTTGCACGCAGGGCCCTCCCAGTGGCAAAGAGACGCATCTCGGAGTGCTGTGTGAGTAGTTCAGCGACCGACGCCGAGTGCAGTCAACAGCTGGTTGCGGCATTCGATAGCTCCGAGTCTACAAAACACATCGGGCCGGGAAAATGAGCCACCGAGGGAGATGCGCAATTGCAACTCGCCATTTCTAACCACCAAGAAATGGCTGGAGAATGGATATTCTCGATATATATATTTATTGCTATATTGAGACATTATTTGTATCAATTGCACGATGACTGCGCGGACCATCAAGTCGCAGATACATATCTTACGTTGGTTCCTACTGAGGTGCACACTGTAGGTTCATCAATCGTTATGATCGAGACTTTCTATTAGTCGTTTAGATCAAAACACCTTGCATTGCCTACTGGGCAAGCAAAGTGATGCAATAAAAGTCAACATGATCCAATGCCATGCAAATGTCATCCACATCCGTGCCAATGCCAATCCCAACAACACAATCCCACTTTTTCATGAGAGAAGTAAAGGAACAAAGACACCAGCCAGGGATATAATATACAAAGTAGGGAGGAGAGAGTTCAGAAACAACGCCAATAAACAGAAAGATACAAGAACACCAAGACCATACAACACAGGTAAGGTGTATCATACACACATGCGTTCATGGACAAAGCAACAGAGACCTGGATCAATTCCAGATGTTCCAGCCTGTCGGATTAACGTAAGTCGATCCCCATCATAGCGAAGACGTATTTGGTATATTATACAACAAGAAGATAAGACAGGGTGGCGGAAAGGGGGAGAAAATGGTTAAAAGGGTTCGCGAAGTGTCTAGTTCTTAACGACACCGACCTTGGCAGCCTATAGAAAGATGAGTTAGCATGTTTTACGACGTATACAGGTCATTATATCAATCACTTACGCGAAGAACGCGGCCGTTAAGGCGGAAACCGGTGCTCTGGGTGTACATGATGTCACCATCTTCCTTGCCCTCAACCTTGGCCATGAAGGTGGCCTCGTGAAGGTTGGGGTCGAACTTCTGGGTCTTGCCCTCCTCAGTGGGCTCGCTAGGGTCAAAGCGCTCAAGACCGTGCTTCTTCAAGGTGTTCAGAAGGACGTTCTGAGTCATCTTCAGACCGGAGACGAGCTCCAACAGGTCCTTGTTTTCCTCAGTCTGAGGAGCATCAAGCTTGTCCTTGGGCACAGCAAGGAGGGCACGGTCGAAGTTGTCAATGGACTCGAGAAGGTCGCCAGCAAAGCGCTGAATAGCGAAGTTACGAGAGTTCTCCATGTCACGCTTGGTGCGCTCCTGCAGGTTGAGGAAGTCGGCCTTCGAGCGAAGGAGCTTATCCTATTCAAAGAGTTAGACAATCTGCAAGGTACCATTTACCACCGTGGTTGGCGTAGTAAATGTTGAGCCGGGCGCTCCTGTTGAGATGGGAAGGTTTACCTTCAGCTCAACGACCTCCTTCTTCTTCTCTTCAAGCTCCTTGCGGACAGGGTCCTCAGCCTCCTGGGCAGCTTCACCTTCCTTCTTCTCGCCGTTCTCAGCCTTGTTCTCGGTAGAGTAAAACCGGTAGGCAGACTGAGGAGCAATCGCGCGGACAGACTGGGGGAGCTGCGGCGTGCGACGGAAGGCGGAGGTGTTGATGGAGGTAGGGCGCACAGAGCGGAGAGACCGCTGGGCCTGTCTGAGGAAGGTTCTCTGAAACATTTTGGAAGAAGAGGATGTGAAAGATGGTGACGGTGGATAATAGAGTATGGTGAAGATTGGAGGCGTGAGAGGTTGAACAAAATCGGCGATATCGTTGGAAAGCAGAACTTTCGGCGGCTTGATCTGACCGCCTTCACCGGGAGAAACCTCGGGCCGGATGATCGTGTGCTTCCATTAACTGAGCATTGCAAGGCTCTAACTGACACTCAATACAGTTCTCATCAGTCTCAGAACATTCCTGTCTGCTTTCTCAAGTATTCTGGTGCTGTCTATATGCTTGATCTTTCTCTGTGTCGACTATGGCGCATTAAATATAGTAAGCTTCATACTACCTAGGAAAGCGGCAATTCGGGCGGTGAGAGTATATTGCTGCAACAACCAATGTGCGAAGTCGGTCATCACCGGTGAGCAATCTGTGCTTTACAGGAAGAACTTGTTCAATTGAAGGCCTTGGCTAGACTACTAATCTCATTTCAATAGTGCACCATGACTAAAATGGTTCTGAGGCGAGGAATATCATGTCTATGCCATATATTGATGGTGATTAACATGTGCGCCAGTGATTCGGTAACTCCCCCTTCCATGAGCAAGACGACCATTTTGCTGTTAGCACTTACGACTCCTGGTACGGATACCACTTCCTAAGTCTAACAGGGGAAGATACCCTTTGGTAAATCATCTAGTCTGTGAGTAGGCTGGAAAGATTCCATCGGATGGCATGACAGCTGTTCTTCAATGGCACGACAGATCGATTGTGCCAGACTCTCTTGGGATTTGCCCCCCAGTGTTGATTGCTATTCACACAATATGACTGGCCTTGTCGTCAGATGGAGATAGAGGAATTGGAAGCCATCTTTTACGGTGTGGCTGATTAGAGAGTTCGAAGAACGGCCAAAAAACCATCTCAGTAGATTTTATTGAACTCCGAGTCACTACTGCTTAGCAGGAGACATCGAGGCGTTGACCCAAGTATCATGACAGCGCACATGAATATCATCGTGTGTACGGATGACTGTCGGTGAAGGATCACTCGGTAACTGCGCCCTAACGCCAAGGATGGATCCGATATGAGCCCACAATAACAGCAAAAGCAATGACAAGAGATGCATTCGTTAGGATCTTCTAGATATGGCCCCCAAAACAATGGTTCGTAACCAACCAGTGATGTTCGCTGAAGTATACCTGTATAATGCGTTTGCCTGCGCTATTGTAAGCGCAGCCGCCAACATCTGTGCAGAACGCGGCTCATCTACCTAGCCCCAATCCTGTTAGGAGTTCATGTGCACCTGCCAGTCGAGGTCTTCGAAGAAGCCTTGTTTTGATTGTAGGAAGCTGTGGGGAGACGGTCATGCAACAGTATATGCGGCAGAGTCATAGCCTTGCTAGAGGCTACATACAAGGCGCCATGTCCGTAGAAAACCTTTATACAGATATTGTGCCAATCTACGTTCGGCTGACCATATGCATCATTGTGGTCAGAATGGCAGTGTGCAACATGGCTGCAGATTAGACTATAGGAAGCGGTTGCATTGCATGTCGGAGACACCGGGACAGTGAGTGGCTATGCCAGAGACGGGATGTGGTCAGAGCTCAGGGCTTAGCTAGATCGGTTCATGCAGTGTTACCCGCAGACTCTCCAGGCAGACAGAAATTGACCCCGGATAGGGGGATTGGGACTGGGTATGAGATAAGCTGAGCAGAGATCCGACGGTCTCAAGGCATCATGAGCCTCGCAGGAAGCCAACATGTAACAAACTTCAATGAAACAAAGGCCATCCTACGGATCAGGAGCACGAGCAAGGCCACGACTCATGAGGACATCGTACGTGTGACATAGCATGACAGAGGCATGACAAGGCAAAGAAGCTACAATTAAACTCTGGGTGATATTCGACACTGCAGGGTCCTAGGCCCGGGGCTTTGGCGAAGGTGACAGCCGAGCTGCATCACCTAAAGGGAGGCTTGGTATGTGAGCCGAATACGTGGCCAGCAAGTAGATACATGCAGTAACGAGTGAGTATGCTGTGCCAGAGCCAAGACATAGAATATTGCCTGCCTGGAGTTGCAACGCAGCTAGCATAGAACTCGCCAGCTGGCTGGGACAGGTATGCGTAGTATTCGGCGATCTGCCATTCATCGCCGGCTCTCCACCGTCGGGGCGGAGCTGCATACCCGATGGATCATGGAGTCTGCGGAGAAACCGGAACCATGGATATGCGGGATCCTCCGAGATGTACCTACACAAAAGACATAGACTCAAGGGTCAGGACAAGGGGATGGAACATAAGGGGCATTCGTGCGTCAGAGGTAGTGGAGACAACGACATGTGAAGCATTCCAAGGCTGGTGATGGAGTCATTGGACACTAGCGAGTTGAGCATCACGTAGGAAGACCCTGGTTACTAGTCCAGGAGGAGTCAATAGCCTCGACAAGGAGGCAGAGAAGGAGAGAGTCAAGCCACAGTTGAATTAATCATCAGGAGGTCCACAGCAGAGAGCAGCGAATGGCATCATCGTCATTGTTGGGATGGGTTGTGGTCGACACCAATAATGGGGGCATCTAGTGGCAATAGCGGCAGTTCAGCCACACGGCGAGGACGAGAGATTGTGGCGAATGCGCTATGCAAATTGCAGCAGACAAGAGGATTCATTCAGGAAGGAGGAGGACTGCGTGCGGAGATCGACAGGAACGGAGCCAAATTTGCCTGAAAATGGGCAAGAGCCGAAGTGTGAGTGGAAGGCAGTGCAAGTGCAACGAGGCCAGAAGCAGATTTGCATCTCCACTGCGACACGAAGGCGTTGGCTGCGCCTCGCCCGCGACGAAGACGGATTTTTCAGTCGCTGCCTATAAGATGCAAGCAGCTTCTGCTGCAGAATTCCTTCTTAAACCACTTCTCCAGTTCATTCTTAGAACATCAATTGAACAATAACTCCTCTCAATCACAAGAATCTAGTTGGTTCATGAGGTTGTGGTTGATTCCTTGAATAAGCGCCCGCCAGTTTTGACGTTCTTACCCGCTTATCTTTACTATCGCCGCCTCCACTTCCAACCACCGCCAACTACTTCTACTAGTACTTTCTACCACCAACTCTCTCCTCCATCTCTCTCTCCTTCCTCAACACAGACACACAAACAAAACAACTATCGACCATCATCACACTTAAAACGACATTCACAAAATGAACTCTTCACCGCCTCACTCTCTCACCTCTTCTCCTTCCTTCGGAGCCCGTCGCTCTTCTCGACCCTCCCTCACTCTCGACATGTCCAATCTTCCCCCTCTTACACAACCCACACCTCCCTCCAACACCCTCATCATAACCGACCTGAACGACATTCTTCTCTTCCAACCCGACTCCCTCGCCAACCTCAGAGCCTACCTCGAATCTTTGGCTCCTCTCAACTCCTTCTCCCCCCTCCCCTCCCTCCGCCGCATCCTCTGCTCCTTCCACACGGACTCCGACGCTCTCCGCATTCGCAAACTCCTAACTGGCGCACCACTGCTCAACCGCCCCATCATCCCCAAGATCTACTTCGGTGAGCCAACCCCCATCATGGACGACCTCGAATCCCGCCCCAAACTCCTGGAGGCCCCGCAAGTCGACAAGCTCTTCTTCATCTCACCGCCGCCCTCCCCGCCCCACGGCTGGGTCATGCGCCAAGAAGATCCCCCGAACAAGGAAGTCCACGCCAGCGATCTCGCACAGGCCTTGGCCAAGTTGAAGACGGAGCAGTCCGGTGTGGAGGAAGCAGCGACGGGAGTTGTCGTTTCATCTATCGAACAGCAGCAGCAGCAACAACAACAACAACAACCAGGTACCCCGATGTCCATGACCTCGGATAAGAGGACGAGCAGTTGGCCCGTGTCGCTATCGCAGACGCGCAGCCGGAGCAGCACACTCATCTACCACCCCGAGGACCATGGAGGTAGCCCTAACTTGCCCGCTGTCATGGTCGAGGACACGAGTGCTTCCCCAGACGAGGATATTGATATGGACCTGAGTCCGATCGAGATGTCGGTCAAGAAGATGCCGCCCAAGACGTCGCGGCCACCAGTGGAGCTGATGGGAGGGAATTAGTTGCAATATTCTTTCGCTGCTCTATCTTTTTTTTATCGCTTCCGTTTTAATGTACAGTCCTCAGTGTGACTGGGCGCGTGTGGTGCATGGGATTGGATTGCTCTGATATTGGACTCGATTTTGGGATGCATCGTTTGGCCAGCATGCTTTCTCTGGTTACTTGCAGTAAATGTTTTGAATCATGAATGGCGTCTGGGATTGGGATGGGGAGATTGTCTTGTCTTATGTGCATATATGTTCAGCATTCTGTGTTTATGAAGCATGTGTACTCTTTTTCTTCTCTCTTGTGATCGACTCTTGAATATGCAGACCGATCGGCTATATACAGTGACATGCAAATATACCTAAAAATTTGGATAAACACTCAAATCAATTGCCTACTACTAGTAAGAACACACCAGTTGTTCCAAAGCTGATGTTACAGCTGAACTCAAGTCCCTTCAATGGTCTCTGAGTTGAAATTCCTGACTCGTCCTTGTACTTCATGATCATATCAAACTTGGTTACTACTAATAGTATATAGCAAAGCATTTTGACATTCACATGTGACTGCGGTATCTGCTTTTACCCTGTAGATACTATGGACTGCTATACGACCTCCACCACATGAACAGGCACGTGCATGGCAGATACTACACACCCTACCCCATCCCTAGTCAAAAAGCACCACAGCACTGTTCTTAACGACCTCCGGACCCAGCACGGCCGCCAACTCGGCGATAATGCCTTTAACTGACTGCGGGTTATCGATGGGCATTTTCTCCCATCCGACAAGGTCCTGTAGGATGATTAGTTAGCATACACTTTACACACACGTCCATCCATCCATCCAGATATACAGGTATGCTGCCAGAGCGGGAGCGAAGATAGAATTAAAGTGTGGACTTACAATCATATGCACGAAAGTGCCATGGACCAGCAGAAGCCAGTGATCCAGATCCAGCGCTTTGACTTCGTCGAGCGTCATGTTACCGGGCATGTTTAGGTCGAAGAGGGAGACTTCTTCATCGTTGATCTCGGTGTCTGCTTCTTGTGTCGCCGCGTTGTCGTCTCCGGTAGTAGTTGAAGTTTGCCGGTCCCGCGAAAGTGATACGTAGGGCCGTTCGTCGAGCTTCTTGGATAATTCGCCGTCGAGAGGATCCCATGTGTGGCTTTCGGGGTCTGTGTACATGTCGATTGTTAGAGAACTTCATTGGGCTGGGTTGATAGTCTATTGAAGGCCTTACCCAGGATGTACTGCGGTCGGAACGTTCCCTTGTATCGCATCTTCTGACATGAGTGGATGTAGTAGCCTGTTTTTTGTTTCAAATTAGTGGATGAAATAGGAAGAAAAGGTGACTGTGTCGAGCATACCCATGTAGTAGTACTGGTATTGCGCTTCAATCGCAAAAGCGATTTCCCGCATCGCGCTGAGTTTCCCAAACTCCCATTGCTCGAATTCCGGGTCATAGCTTCTCTTATCAGTGGTTACTCTTGCTGCTAACGGTCGAGAACTTACAAGATATAGACTGAGCTCACACCATTTGGCATGAGATCCAAGACTGCCACCGCGATGAGCTTGCCATCCAGTCGGTAGCACTGATGCCATGAGCCCAACTTCTTTTCGTCCGATTTAGCGGCATTGGCCGGAGATCGAGGCATGCCCGAGCAGAGGAAGCGCTTGAAGTCTTTGTTTGCCCATTTAGAAGCATCCTCTTTATGAACCTTGGTTTGATACTTGAGGAAGAGCTCGTATCTCGCGCAATGTCAGCTTAAGCTGTTGATAACAGAAACAGATGCACACCTACTTGGCTTGAGAGATAGAGTCGCCTTCTAGATTAACCTCGAATCGGTGAGCGGGTTCCAAAGGTCTCTTTGTTTTTGGGTCAATGGGCCGCTTCACGTTGCTGTATTCAGCCTCATGGACTGCACCGAGAAGGTCAAAGTTGCACTTTCGGCGCTTTTTCTCCCTACGATCATACTTTGGTGAGCCCACACATCCTCCCCACATTAGACGGTCTACTTACTCCCGTGTCTTGGGGCAGAGATATGCTGCTCTACGGATATACTCGGGGCCTAGAACAAACTTGTTCCAGCGGTTGATTGCCTTCCGTTGGTCCTTCCTAGGCGTGAAGGCCGAGGCATCGAGCCTGGCAGAAATGTCAATGCAAGCTAGTCAAGGATAAATAATGGACCAATGACATACCTCATCGTATAATGAGGACAGCATGATCGTTGCAGGTTCTGCTTGTAGTACAGTGTCCCCGACCTAGACCCAGATTAGCGATTGACCAGCCAGACGGGGTGAGGTGTGGCTCGCATTACGAAGGCGAGCCGCCGTACCTTCGCCAGCCCCTGTTGACTAGAGCTTCATAATGCGCCGGGCGTACAGAAACCGAGCTAGCGTAGTAGGAGGCACCTGCAGTAGACGTGCATCAGCGGTCCCATCCGGCAGCACGACGACATATCCGCGATGGACTACTACGGCAGAGGAGGATTTGAGGGTGGGTCCGGAGAGACTCACTTCCATTATCAGATTTGCAGTAACCGCAGGAGTTGCGCTGGTAACCTAGAGGGTCGAGTTAGGCCATGTTGGCGCAGCCATGGTGATAATAATGGAGCAGTCCCACGAAGACTGTCATTAGTTGATCGGAGGATGACCGTCCCATTGCAGAGACAGGGTGGGCTCAAGTGGAATGAAGGAGGCCGAGAGAGGGAGGATACTGAGTACTATGTGTGTGTGTATCGGGGGTGCTTTTGGCCATGGCGGCCGGGAACTGGGAGGGGGAAATTGGCCGGGAATGAGGGGCAGCCAAAAGAGTACATCAAGACAAGAGGGGCACAGGATTTCCGATCCAGAGAATCGGTGGCCGAGCAGGAGAACTGGGGCCAATGATGATCGCACGGGGATTGAAAGGCTAATCTGACTGGCTGCTTACCAAGAGGTCGGAAAAGCGACAACTTCCTCGCCTGTTCGGCATCGACGATGGGCTCCATGGCGTGTCGTCGCGGGCAAGTAGTGCGATGGAGAAGGGATTAGCTGGCAGCGCTCACGGCGGGAACGGCAGAAAAGGAATAAAAAAAAAGCAAACCGAGACAGAACAAGGGGAATAGCGGGAATAAATTGTCCGTCTGAGGAGAAAGGAAACCAAGGGGTTTGGAGAGAGGGTTGAGGTAGTTGGAGTGGGCTGAACCTTGATGTTGTTGGTTTTCAAGTTGATGCGGGACAAGAAGATAGTGAGCCCAAGGCAACACTGTCAAATACTCCCTCGTCCAGGCAGGGGCAATTTCACGTATACTTAAAACAATACGCTCAGCTTTGGGTCTACACAACAAAAAGAAGATCAGACTCTACAAGGGAAAGATATAAAGCATGCCCACTGGCCGCTTCAGTAGAAGGTGCTGCATGATCATAGGACTCCCCAGTTAGTCCTGGGGGGAAGCTGTCCCCATCACTGCTGCCGGGAGGTAGAAACAAGGTTGAAGGGGGGCCATTCAAGTTGCAGAAGGTGATGATGCTTCTAGAAGAAAGACCTGAGCGGCTGCTGCCCTTGTCGCTGCGGCATGTCAGAACTGCTGCCCCCCCTGGTCAAGTAGGCAAGTTCAACCTGATTACTTGACCCTTGTACTTCGTATCTTCTACACGGATCGAATTGTCTCTGCCACCGAATTGCTCGGTGCCTCGGGAGATGAAGGAGATGCGGAGCAAGCACGGCTCCAGAAAAATGAGTTCACTACGGGGATTGTTGGCCATAGCTTCTCGTAGCAGGTGCCATTGCCATTTCCAACCAGATACAGTCGACTAGGTGGATAGTAGACTGGAGAAACCCCTTCCCAGAAAATCTGGTAGAATAGTAGAAACTGCTGGGCAGGTTTGACTTGAGGCGGGAAAGGGTTCAATACCATACGGTCTGGCCTCGTATGGACAGCCTCCATTACGATACGGGGGTATGTAAAGCCGACGGTACCTGACCTGAACTTGCTTTCGATCGAAGCGGAAGTTGGCCAAGTGTCAATCCTCTGACGACGAAATCTTGTCCATATCGTGGGTGCTAAGAGTTATTGGAATGTGGCACACGGTGAGTGTGCTGCTGGCCGATCCTGGAATCTCGTCCAAATCAAAATGCTCCTAGCATCGGCGACCAAGAGGCGAAAACACTCACCAAAGAGTCTCCCCGGACCATGACATCACGTGCAGGAACCCCCCAACGTCCAAGCATCATCGGCAGCATCACGGCTTGTCGATGCTAGGATCTCAGGATCCGCACCTCGACAGATCGCTGCTGCGTTGTCGCGTCCAGATCCAATCGCCACCGGGAAGTTTCTCAAGCCACTATTAGTCTTTCCTGCGCAGTCTACCTCAGTAGTTCCATTCCTTTGCAGTTTAAGTCACCGCATCGTCCGAGCAACATCAACGCTCTGATCGACCACACACACCCTTTCCCCCCCTCCATGGTTCCTCAGCGGTGGGCAAGGTACGCGGTGTGAAGCAAGTACCATGTAAGTATCTAGGCCCTGGCCCGCATACATCATCACGAACGCGCAGGTCGGTCTGGATGCCTTTTGCCTTCATTGTTGGGCTGTCGCATCCGCATCATCCCTTGTTCTTTGTTCGGCGGAGAGGTCACAGAATGTAGATAGTAGAGTAAATAGGAAAATTCAGAGAAGTCACCCTTCCAACCATTCGAGGATTTGGTGGCCGGCCGAGTGGTTGCTGTTGCCCCGCATCCGTTCCCAAAATCAACCTTTTTTTCCCCTACTACTATTACGAAGTATTTCCCTCTTTCTCTTCACTGGTTGAGTTCGGTGACATCGGTGTGCTCTCCTCCAATGAGCCCGCCAGGATCCGAGGGGCCTAATGTATGCAGGGCATGCCGTCGCATGAGATGGTATCCAATCCGTAGCTTGCGCGCAGGAGGTACGGGGAGAATAAAGGAAGGGGACACTAGAAGAAGAAAGAATAACAAACAAAAGAAAAGTGAATTTTATCAAGAGGTAGATGAAAGCTATAATGTAGCTGGATCATTCGATGACCACTTGTCGATGCAGCTTGAAGCTCCAAAATCATCCCATCGGAAATAGCACAACACGTAGCAAGGTACTGCCGGGTCGCATGTGGTAGTTGGTTCTGATATCATTCGTTGAATAGCGTGCAGACATCGATGCGCTACATGCAGATATTCTACACTGCATGATGCTACTACCACTACTTACTCTTAACTAAGTAGTATATACCCAGTCAGATGAAGGAATATCTCGCACATAAATTAGTAGATACGTAGATCTGCTGGTGGGTAATTAGAACCGAGAAGGAGAACAGCGAGTCGCGGACTGTTCCACATCGAGAAACGGATTAGTATTCCACAGCAAATAACTAATCAGAAAGAAACAGACACAGGGTTCCGTCGCACGGAGTACCGCATCCAGAGTTGGTAAACGAGGTGGACCGATCCCGGTTTTGCTTCGGTTTTTGCTCTTTCTTCACCGTGACTTCTTTTTTAGAACCAGAGACATTATCAATATGTAGGCTATATTAGAAAAAAAAAAAAGGGGCAGGAATAGGAATAATATTAATTAGTATGACCATCTAGGGAAATATTAACGGTGTGTTTAAACCCCGACGAAAGAAAAAGGGGTTGGTAATAAGCCATTCGAGACCGGTGTGAGCGAACGATGAATTTAAGAGTATTCATCTCAATAACCATATAATTTCTACGCTGAAACCTCGTCATTTCGAACACACCAGCGCTTACGGCGGAGAGCACAAGGGCCTGGTTGCTTCCTTCAAAAGGAGAAAACTAACAAGTAGACTAGACTGATGGAGACATGGCTTAAAAAAGTAAGATAAATTATTATTATTTTTTGTTTTATCCATGTAAATAGCAGTAGTATGAGTTGAAGGGAAGGAAACTGTCCGTTCCACTAGTCGGGGGCCCTAATTTTGATAGTGTCATAGGGCCTTGAGTGTAATTGATGAGCGGGCAGCGTTTGGTTGCTGGGAAATGATGGATGGACTGCAAAGCCGTAAATACCGACTCGTCCGAGGTGGGAGTTAGGGGACAACGGAAGCTGCAGTAACCCTCTAGGCTGCTGCTGCTTCTTCTGCTGCTCCAAAATACCGTGTCCCAAGCAATTTTAATTCCCGTTTTGTGTGTGTGTGGAAAAGAGAACTCCTGCTCCCTTGGTCCAGGCGATTTGCTGTGGAACCTCCGAGGAGTCCGCATAACTTCGGGAGACTCAGGAAGCAGTTCATGGGGAGGGCAACAGACCTAGTCTGTGACTCGCGGACGCGTGAACCACCGAAGAGGAACCAAATCGACCCAGAGGAACCGCCAGAATTACGCTTGGGGAGGTATCAGCATGTCCGGTGGGATGGCCCATATAGTGCAAAGTAGTCTAGGTTGATGGATTATCCTCGGACACAACTCCACAGAGCTACGTATGAACTGGGGATTTCTTAATTTCTAATTTTACTTTAGAGTACCAGAGAGAGTAGACAATGGTTAAGGGAAAAGGATCAGTTAGGAGAGAGGGAGAGCAAGCAGAGAACCCCTGGAACCGAACAATAGTACCACCGGAAAAAGAGATCCCAGCGATTAGGATGATGACACTATAGTAAGCGTTCAAAAGAGCAAGTCGCAATAGGCTGACTGGGGGGCAAAAGTAGGAAGTTGAGTAGCGGCGGTACCTGTACCAGTAAGGTACTGGTACCTAGCAGAAAGAACCGAAAGAACGCGTATGGTTCCAGTAATACGGGAGCCCACCGCGTCGGGTTGATGGCAAAAAGCAGTGGAAAAGCAGTGGAAAGGTAGCCGGGCAGACGGACGGGGAGACCGGCGATACAGTATTAGGGTGGTACCCAGACGGTACCGTCCAGTGCAGAGACAGAGAAAGAATTAGGGAAGAGGGACTGTAAGAGGGAGAGGGAAACAGCGCGCGCGCAAAGTCCGCTCCGGGCGAGAGAGAGCGAGAGAGCAAGAGAGCGAGCGACCTTCCTGACCGGATCGCGCCGCCCATTACTATCCCCAAAGCTGTCTCTGATTCCCCCCCCCTCCGTCCTCTCGCCTCTCCCCCCCCTCCCTCTTCCTCCCTATCCGTTCCCTTATTTTTCCTGGTATCCCTCCGATTATGATGTCTTTTTACCTTCACACCTCTCCTTCCAGGTTCCCGTCCGCCGCGGGAGTGAACGGGGATACCTAGTTCCTAAAAACTTCCCTCTAGTCTTAATCTTTTTTTTTACCCTCCCAAAAATTTTCCCTGGCCTACTTCGACCGCCTGGCCCATTTTCGCTTCGGGAACAAGACAGGAACTCACGGCTCACCGGCCAGCTCCTCATCCACAAGGCCGGGCCTTCTTCTTGTCTCAAATTCCCGTCGTTGGACATCTCACGCCTCCCTTAGCACCGATAGTGTCGTCACACCGATCGTGGCTTAGAATCGGTGTCATTGACCTTTTCCCTCACCTCGAAACTCTCCATTCCTTTCATACCTGTGTCGCGTGAAGCACAGCTTGGCAGTGTCGCACTGGTTTTTCGAATCCCTGCTATATAGACCGCGTTATAGACTTTTTCCTGGTGTTTTCTTATTCTTTTGTTTTCTATTCTTTTTCCGATTTTTTGATTTCCAATGTTCAAAATGGCGGATCATCCTCGCTCTATGGAGTCCCGGGTGGGACGCAAAAACCAACGTGAGTTAACATCCCCGGGCTTGTGGCCATTTGAAATCACTCCCCAATGCCAGTGTCGTCGATTTGTGCACATACAGCAACGCAACATTCATTATGATGTAATACTATTTGTCGCGCAACGTGGCTAATCCGCGTTGTGTATAGGGTACGGACCGAAAGGTGAACGACTCGTGGCCGGTGTGGTTCCATTGTCCGCGGACAAGACGAAGGTGCTTATGATCCAGTCCGCGGGGCGAGGCGGTTGGGTGCTTCCTAAAGGCGGTTGGGAGACCGATGAAGTAAGCGCCCAACAAGCTGCCTGTAGAGAAGCCTGGGAAGAGGGTGGAATAATATGTACGGTGCACAAAGACCTGGGATTGATCCCGGATATGCGGCCGTCGACGTTATTGACGTCCACGGCACCGAAAGCATCATATCAATTCTTCGAGGTCACAGTGGACCGGGAAGAGGACCAGTGGCCCGAGATGCATAAGCGGAAGCGTCAATGGGTCACTTATGCGCAAGCGGCCGAATCGCTTGCCAGTCGTCCCGAACTTCTGGAAGCGCTGAATCGCAGCTCCATGCGGAGGTAGCGATGGCGTATCATTTCTCTTCCCTCGCTCAAAAGGGCAGGGGAGTTGAAATGATGGAGACTGGCCTGTGGGCTAGAGCTCTATGACGACTTGACATGATTCTTGAAACCGAAAAGAAAAGCTACTCTCGATTTTCCCTTCTTGCTTCGATTCACTTGCCTGAGTTTCTGCCTCTGGTCGGCTATAATGCTTTTGGTTTTAATTCTCTTCTTCGGGCTATTTGGGCAGCCCGACGGTTTTCGCGCGTGAGGCGCACTTACCACTATAGAATCCATGACGGAGCGTCAGCATAGAATGTTAGAGGAGTACGGTCTGGCGGCGGTACAGCCGACGGATGGAGCAAAAAGTTGTTGGGGTCAGCATGACTTGATTTGGGATCGCATCCTACGGTTGGAGCGGGCATCTGCTTTTGGAGAGGGTCATTTCTTTTTTCTTTTTCGTTATACTTCGACTTGATATACCCTTGCGACGACTTGCTGGTTGACTATGGCCCGCCAGCTATTCTGGCTCGAAGCTGTCGACAGGTGCCTCCGTTGGTGCTGGGATGAACTGCCTTTTGCTCATGCAAGCTAGGAATCTGACCTGCAAAGGAAGAAAGCAAGCATACTCCTCAATTTGCGAGGCAACAGAAGACCATAGGGGCTGGCTGTCTGCTCAGTGTGTAACTTATAGTAAACTCGTAGAGATCGTAGACCTGTAGATTGGAAGACAGTTAAACCCTTATTAGATATAACACCATAATTTAATCTTTTGTTGCTCTTGAATCTTCATCTGAACTAACCTCAGAATTTTGATCTGCGGTAAACGCCGCAGCAGACGCATTACCCGAACAGGCAAAGCGCGGGCTGCAGGTCGGCGACGAACTTGACCTCAGCTCCTTCGCCATCCATCATTCCCTCCAGCATCAGTTCTCCCCTCGCTGCTCCATCTCTCACCACCACAACCATCCCTCCACTCGATAGGTAGCGCCTCTGCGCTACTAACCACACCCACCATGGACTACGAGATGGATATCGAGCCCACCGGGCCCCAAGTCACCGTTCGCGAAGTGAGTTGACCTCTGACCAATCTACCAATTACACCATCTATACCAACACCAGCCCATGCAACACAATCACCCCATCGAACCTTTCCAACCATCCTTACTAACACTTAGAATCTTAATAGGCCGAACCCACTCGCGTTGACTTTAAACTCACCTCGGTCGACCTCGCTTTCGCCAACTCCCTCCGCCGAGTAATGCTCTCCGAAATCCCCACGATGGCCATCGACCTCGTCGAAGTGGAAAAGAACACCTCCGTACTGCCCGACGAATTCCTCGCTCACCGTCTCGGCCTTATCCCCCTGATCAGCAAAAACTGCGACCAAGACGTCGAGTACACGCGCGACTGCGAATGCGAGGACCACTGCGCGCGCTGCTCCGTGACCCTGTCGCTCCATGCGCGGTGCACAGGCGACGATATCATGCGGGTGTATGCGCGCGATCTCGTGGTATCAGGAGAACGGGCGAACGAGTGGGTGGGAAACCCGGTGATCTTGGATCCGGAGGGAAACGGGCCCTTGATTTGTAAATTGAGACGCGGCCAGGAGTTGAAGATGACGTGTATTGCGAAGAAGGGTATTGCGAAGGAACATGCGAAGTGGATGCCCACGTCGGCGATTGGGTTTGAATATGATCCGCATAATAATTTGAGACATGTGGATTACTGGTATGAGGAGGATCCGGCGAAGGAATGGTATGTTTTATCCCAAACCCTCATTTTCATTTTACTTCTATTCCAGCACCTTTCTGCATCGCATACTACAGAGCAAGGGAATTCTACATGAGCGAGCAAAGATCAATGAGCTAATAGTACAACCAATACAGGCCCGTCTCAGCCAACGCAGGATGGGAACAGCCTGCTCCCCCAGACCAACCATTCGACTACGACGCCCAGCCCAACAGCTTCTACATCGACGTCGAGAGCATCGGCACCCTTGAACCGGACATGATCATCCAGCAAGGAATCACAGTGTTGCAACGGAAGCTCGCCTCCGTGATATCCTCGTTATCAGGCACCGAAGGCGCAGACCGCAACGGCGTCATGGGCGGTGACGACGAAGATATGATGGGTGTGCGCAGCCCGGATGCCTACGAACCGCCCGAGGGTATGGACGGTGGCTTTACGGCGTATGCGAATGGTGGAGGCGCTAGCGCATGGGGTCCTAGTGCTACGACGCCATATGGAGTCACGCCATATGGGGGTGGATATGGATTCTAAGGTGGAATCAGTTCGTCGCACCTTCCCTTCTCATCTGACAAGGAAAGAAGCGGGGCATGCTCTTACCTTTTTTCATCCATCCCATAACTCACCATGAAAGAAAAAAAACGGAAAAGACCAAAAACAAACCCTGTCCAGTCACATGCTCATGCTCATACTCACCTTACCAGTGACGGATGGTCATGACCATGAATGGCAGACAGTGGCACCCACAACCCATCACGCAGCCTCGCATGAAGCCACCAAAAAACCAAACTTACCATAACCACTAACTAGTTACCACTTGCTACCAAGACCATATTACTATCTATCAGTTAGCATCCGGATGGAGTTCGGGGGAGTTGCGTTTCTACTCGATTTTCGGCCAGGCGTGAGGAATTACTACTTGCTTGCTTGATTCTTCAATTCACATATCATATTTTCACAAATCTATTTCTTTTTTTTCTTTGCCATCTTTGTCTTTTCCATTTCTGGGTTCAAACTTACTGCTGCACTGCAGTCAGTATGCTTTGCTTGCTCCGTGTCTGCCTAGTCATAACTTGGCTGGTCTCCCCTGTGATATTAGATTTCATTTCTCCCTTCTATGGCTATTACTACTATTTTGTGAACTGCGCATTCAATTGCCGTATGCTAAAATTGGGCTGTTGGAAACGGGGATGAGTTTGGGGTGTTCTACAGAACTGAGCCGGGGGTGGTTACCTCATTAGCAAGGGTATCACATATAAAATCACATGGATACTTACAGACGAAGCTGCATGAAAATGTTTCAGAGTGATATATGCTAGTAGTAAAGAGTAAGTAGTAGTAAGCTCGCATATATACTATGATGATGTGATGGTACTAGGATACCATCGATACAGGTAAAGAAAAGAATAAGTAGTAGTAGATCCAAAGAAAAAGACAGGTAGATAGATAGATGATAGCTAGACCAACCACACTACAACACCATGTACTACCGTCAAAGATACCTTACCAACCAACCATGTACCCATACCGAGCACACTCCGTCCACCAACTATTGACAAGAGGAGAGAACCGAATTGAGGAGACCAAACGAAAAACCAGACCACGTGCGCCACAGTAGATGATCAAGCATGTAAGCAGGCAACCACACCAGCCAGCCAGCCAGCTAACCTCTTACCTTCGGGGAAATGAGAGGGGAGGAAAGATGAGAAACAAGAAACGGGTGTATGGATGGCAGCCAATGGAGGGGAACAAACGACAAGACATGTCACGGGATGCAGGTTGCAGCAGGGTAGATAGATCGCAATGAATCAAATCAAATCTTGTCTATGTTTTCCCTTCCCGCTTTTGATTGTGATGCCAAACAACATGAGAAAGCCCTAGAAGTTGTGTCACCGAGATGGAGGGAGATGGAGATGAGGTGAGGTGAAAGGAGGCAGAAGATAGGGCAGGCCAATGAAAATCTGTAGGCAATGGACGCCAGTGTACGCCAGCTAGCCAGAGCGATGCGAGGAGAGAGAAGCGAGATGTAAGTAACCGAAGAAAGGGGACCTGTAGATGAACGCCCACCATGTGCACAGCACACAAGACCAATGGTTCCGAATGGATCAGATCGACAACGCCATGTCCACGTGATGCAGGTGCAGAGACAAAAGAAGGAGCAGAAAGACAAGGAACGCCTGCCTATGCATGCAAGATCTCTCGACTCTGTTTCATCACACCCCGTCAATTGCGTCCGTTCCCAGATCGTCCGATCCGTCGGCCAAGACTGGATTCTGCGGCAATCGCCGCCCAAATCCGTAGTAGAACTCCAGGGTCTTGGCTTTCTGTTTGTCTCGAACAGATTTGAGGTAATCATAGCTGCCTTCGAGTCCGCGGATTTGCCCGTCGATCGCAGCCTCAACATGGCCCAACATGCGACCGTTGCTACGACTACTGGACTCCATGCCCGTGAAGCTCACCGAGTCGTTGCGTCGAACTAGCGGGCTGACAAGTTTGCGCCGCAGAGTTTCCAGATTGACCTTGAGGGTTAGTAGACGGCCGCGGTGGTCCACCAATAGGTGCTTGTTAGTGACAGTGCGACTACGGACATTGGCGAGCAGCCGCTTGTTCTTCTCGTATTTGCGAACCGCAGCAGCATTGGCTCCCACGAGCCGAGTCCACAGCGACTCCAGCATCTCGCCCTCCTCCCGCTCTTGTACGTCCGACTCGCGAACGACAGTCCGTTGAAGATTCAGGAACTGGCGGTCGATCGCTTCAAAGAGCGCGAACAGCGCCGTTGAGTGCGTCAGTTCGTTGTTGATCGCCTCTTCTAGTACGGAGAGCATTTCGGTAAAGGTGCGAGTGAGGGTGGTGCGCGTGCGCTGGGCAGAGGTTTGGCCGAAGACCGCGGTGACGAAGTTACCAAAGGTGGTTGGGGTGCTGGTCAATTCAGTGCTGGACCCTTCCCCACTCGTGGCGCTAAGTCGCTCCAGCGCCCCCAGTCGCGCAAAGATCCCGTGGAGGTTATCGAAGACGACCGACGGCAACGTACTAGGCGGTTGCGACGATAAGGCCTCTAGTTCACGCTTGGCCCAGTCCATGGCGAGTAGGATAGAATCAATGTCCCCTTCGACATCGGAGAAGAAGCGCGCCAGCTCCAGAGAGAGCGACTTGAGCGACTCGGAGAGTTCATCCAGTTGGCGGACAATGATCGGCGCGCTGGTCATGTTGGTCCCGCGCACCGATTCTCCGAGATCCCAGACGGCCACCCCTGTCTCCTGCAAGGCGGTTATTTGATGTGCGCCATTCTCCGAATAGTAGATGAGGGGCTCGAATGAGCGCGCAAACCCTGACAGCTTGACCAGGTCGGGTATCGCTTCGGGAACGCTGGGTAAGAATAAGGCGCGCATGAACGCGATCGATATGAAAGCAACGATTACAGAAAGAATTGCGTTGGATTTGGAGCTAGTGATCTTATCGAATTTGGACCGCAAGTAACTAAAGAATGCGACAAAGGGCTCACGGTGCTGAACCTCCGCGCGCACAGCGAACCGGATATCTTTGAAGCGTCATGGATTAGTTCATTCCGGCCAGGAAGCTGCAAAGGGTAGCAAACCAAGGTAAAGCCTACAATTGCTGAGATTGTTCCCCGACCCAAAGTCCAGACCCTCGCCATCCGGGCTAGCTCTTGCGCCTTTGGGTCCCGGGCTCGGCGACCGACCTTTTTCTGGGGTCTCTGCGTCGGCTGGCAGGGGGACATTGGCGGCGATGGTAATGTCAGCTGTCTCTGCGGACTGGCTGCGTTTCCCTGCGGTCGGTGCCTCCAGCGCATCCTCATACTGCGGGCTAGGCTCGCGCGATTGCGACGGGCTCAGTCCGACCGAGGGCTTAAGGCAGAAACGGTCGTAATCGGCATTGCGCACGTAGGGCTGATGGCGATACCAACCACTTCCTTGTACATAGTCATACCTGCGTAAGCCCGGAGGCGACCAGCGATCTCCGTTGGGCGTGAGGTCGTCGTCTTCCCCATCCGATTCCTCGGAGCGAAAGCCCGAATGCTGGGAAGGCAGACCGAAAACGGGGGATTGACGAGCGTTACTATTGCTCTCAAAGTCCTCGAGCGACGCATCCAATGAAGGATGCTCGTCGAAGGCGCTCTCCAGCTCGTCTAGCATGATAGACGGCGTTGCGCACTGCAACACCAAAGAAGTCAAGGCCACTTTCGATCGCTGCGACGTCGTGAACGACTTGCGCAGCAATAGACAATAACTTCAGAGGGTGGGTGCTATCAAGGTGTTAGAAGAACGAGGGTTAGTTGCGGGCGCGCTAAGATCCGGTTAAGGAAGGGAGAATAGAAGCTATGCGCCAAGGGGGAGAGGGGGAAGGAACAGATGATGGCAGGGGTGAAGGGTAGAAAGAAGGGTCAAGATTACAGTGTAGATTGTTATAGATGTCCCTGCGAATGAATCCAAGAGAGAGCAGGGAGGAGGGAGAGCAAGACATGGGAAGGTTGAGTAATGGTGGGAGGGTAGTAAGTAGTAGTAGTAGTAGAAGATACGCGGGACGAGAACCCGGGGGGGAAAGCCTGAGTGCCTGAGGAATGGCCAGCAACGGCGAGCGATCAGGCCGGTCCGACGAAACAGAACTGGAGAGGTGGGGAGAGCAAGATGAAAGACCGTCCAGTCCTCGAATCAGTCAGAACTCAGAATAGAATGGAAGATGTGTTTGGCTAAGCCAGTTCCCTTTCTTGCTTTCACTCTTCTGTCTGTCTGTCTGTCTGCCTGGTCTGTCTGTATGTCATAAACTGACCAGCGGACTAACGGGAATGCGACAAGTCACGGCGGGTTACAAAGGTGCTTGCAGACACCCACACGAGGGGCCACCTCGAAGGGGGAGGGGGTGAAGGTTTATTGGAGCAGCTGTTGCGCCGTTAGTTAGATAGTAGGGATAAGACAATAATAATGATACGAGTAATGTAGTAGTAGATTATATAGGGATTGATATTCTGAATGTGGGAGTTCTGGAGTCTTCAGGCCAGGTACAGGAAGTACAAGAAGGTACAGGATAATACCGGCCCGCCCCTCGCATGCCTTCCACGGCTGGGGTTTTTATTTCAATCAAAAGGAAAGAGCGACCCATGGAGGGGCCCCGCTGGGTGGCTGGTCCAATCAGCATCGCTGCGCCACGGGTCAGGTGGGATCATGGGATGCTCATCCCTACAGGCCCATCGTAGCCTCCAGTCTGTCTGTCGACTGTCCTTCTCTGTCTAGACTTTCTCTCCCCGGTCGCTCCCCAGTCGACAATGTCCTTTTCTTCTTTAACCTTCTGACGCAACATTCCCCCCCCCC